GTGAAAATGGTCTATGCTTTGGTGGAAAGTGACGGAAACTGCCTTCTTGCGTCTAGGATTAACCAAGAGAAGTTCTCCGAAAGAAGACAACCAAATTGAAAGGCTCTGAAAACAAGATTTGAAAGATGAAGTGTTTTTCGAAAGAAACATCGAGAATCAAAAAAGTATATTGATGAACGAAATGTCGCATTAAAAAGTTAGTTGAACCGATTATGAAAAACATGAAGAAAGCAAAAAGTTCTGTAATTTTTTGATTTTGTTAAAAATAGAGGCGGTAGAGCAAACAACAAAATTTGTCATTTTCAGTTTTTTGCAAATATCTCAGAAACGGTTGGTGATTTTGTCGATCTGAGAATACTTTCATCCCTAAAAAAGTAACTTTTTTTCTATTCAACCGGTCTTGTAGGACCTATCATTTCCAGGATAGCAAAAGTGGTTCTTAGGTTTTAAATTCTTTTGGAAAATGGAAAAGTCTTTTTTTATTCATATATCAAAACGTTTCGCCCCTGGCCAGGGGCCTTTTGAATTGTTTATTATTTTTTTTTTCATTTTACATTGGATGTTTGACGTGGTTTTCTGAAATAGAATACACTTTTTATTTATTTTTTCTTTCCTTCAAATTGATATANTCAATTTTATTTCAGAAGGATATGGTGGAAGGGCTTCTGACATCATTATAGTAGAAAATTGTGGCTATCTAGACAGAGGCTTCAAAGACTTGTCTCATTTGAAAATAAAAAATGTACCCTTATTCGGCCTCCTTTAGTGTTCAAGTCTACAGCAAGTACAAAATATGAGGTGAAAAGAATAGCAGCATTAAGAATTCATGTAGAGCGTGTAATAAACAGGTTGAGAGAATTTCATATGTTGTTGCCTCATGCATGTGTACATCACAGCTTAGTTTCGATAGTAGATGAAGTAATAGTAATAGCATGTGGCATAATCAATATGCAAAACGTTTTAATAAAAAAATAAATAAAATTTTCAAGTGCTTTATTTTTATTCATATTGGTGTGGCACACTCAGAAGGTACGAATATAGGTTACAAGTAACTTGGCTAACTGACAACTGAAATTTCAACTTGCTCCTCATACTATGATTTATTTGATATTTTTACATATAATAGGAAAAATAGCATTACTCCAGAAGAGCATGCTTTTTTCCAAAATAGTTGCACAATAGTTCTCATCATAATTTACAATATAAATGTCTACTTCCTTTCATATTTTAAAATCATGATGTGCAACACAGAAAAGCCCTTTTTTATTTGAAAAATGCATCTGCATTTGGACCTGAGCCATATATTTTGAGGATATAACATCTTTTGAAAGATATCTGCTCATGGCTTTCTCAGATGATGGGCATTTGATTTCAATACTGTAATCAATACTCTCACCATCAGGAGATGCACCAATTAGGGTTTGAGATCAAACCACACCCATTAATTTTCAGTTTCATTTTTTTATTTGACTTCTTTCAATACTTTTTTCTTTAGCAAACGCCCTCTTTTCATCGTCTCTGTGTCCTTTAATTTAATTGCTCCCATTATACTTTCACATAAAGTGCCTTCGAAAACTTTGCAGTGTGCTGCTTCATGCATCTTCGAAGCAGTAATCCTAGCATACCGTAGCTCATGCCACAGCGGACAGTCATTCTGATCAATTGTAGCTAGATCAGCTTCATGATGTGTCCATCATACTCCTGCAATAGTTGATGAACTCTGTGGCGTTAGCCGGTTTATTTGGTAGTGTAGTTACTAAATGATGAATGGATAATTTTCCTACTCTGCTTTTTTCCTTGTAGTATTTCATGAGTTGACTTTCCACGTGACCGATGCTTTTGCTATGGTTTATTAGAGTTGGCAGAAGGCTTCGAGTATTGGCAGATGGAGCAGGTTTGGCTTTTGAAATACTACCTAACCCTTCAGCTCTTATATACTTTAGGGTTGTGCCTATCGTGGATAATTTGGACTTCTTCCAGTAACAGTCGATACTAGTAGAGGGAGGATCTTCGCTACGCCTGTGCAGCCAAGCTATAAAAGCTATTGCATGCTACCATCCACCTGAAAATTAAAAATATATATAATAATTATATTTTCTGGATAAAACATGATCACATTTTGAAATCAGACTCTTATTTTTATGAAACAAAATGTGTAAGTTGCAAAAGCACACCCATTAATTTTCAGTTTCATTTTTTTATTTGACTTCTTTCAATACTATTGGATGTTTGACGTGGTTTTCTGAAATAGAATACACTTTTTATTTATTTTTTCTTTCCTTCAAATTGATATATTTGTTGTTCATAACCATTTTTTTTTGTACGTACCTTGCTCAAAATTACTGATATCTTCAAAATATAAATAGAATTTATTGTGTGTTAGGTTTTGTTTGGGGAAGAATGGGTGTTGTTATGTAGGTGGTGGTTGGTGTAGGTATAGTATGTATGGTAAATTTGACTTCAGTTGTGTATGTCTCGTCTGTCATTCATTGTGTTATGTTTTTTCTATGTAAATCATTTCGTTAACAATTCTTTTTTTTAGGTTTGGTTCATAAGCTGAAATTTTGGTTTCTGCAAAATTGGAGTTGTGATTGTCTTGTATAATCTATATGTATGTTTATTTAACGCAGTACTTGATTTTTTCAGGTATCTGTTGCCAATTATTTTGTTCCCTGAAGGTTGTGATGTCATACCAATATATGCAACAAATATGTTGCATTCCATGCATTGCATGGAATGCAACAAGCTTGGACTATTATGGATGTGATTTCACTTCATTTCGTTAGGTTTCTCTTTTGAGTGGGGTTATATGCTTTCTATAATATCGATTGCAGGGAGATGTTTTTCGTTTAGAACAGGCATAAAAAAATTTTCTTTATACAATAGTACTGTTTCTATATATTTTGGTATGTCAGTATTGTTTTGGTGGTTAATTAGGTTGTTGAATTTTTTATTATTGTTTGGTTTCATTTTGAAGATTTGTTTTTCGTGTTTTTTGTGTTCTAGTTGATGAAAGCTTAGTAGAATTTTTTGGGGTATGAATCAATTCAGTTTGTGTGTATTGTCAATAAGTTTTAAAGTTGTTTGATTGTATGCATACAATCTTCAATAAAAAGATTGAGGATCTGATCTCTATATTGTTGTGTAACTTTTTGCAAATTTGTTGGCAAAGTACTCATCTACTGGTCATACCTTCATGATGAATGTTGAAATTCAAGAATTTTGCATCATAGCACAAATTTTTTTTCTGCTTGTCTAAGGTGTGGTTTTATTTGGATATGTTTTTCTTGTGTCTTTGGGTTTGGTCGCCATATTGTTGTTGGATTTGTTCGTAAAAGCCTTCTTTTTTGTTGGTTGAGAAGCAATGTTTCACCATTGCTATTTATATTCGGTTTGGGAAGGTTTTTGAATCATGTTTGATATGATTGTTACGTGGTTCTTTGGTTTTGGGTTCTTTTGGGAAATGGAAAAGTCTTCTTCCATCTATATATCAAAATGTTTCGCCCCTGGCCAGGAGCTTTTTCAATTGTTCATTCAAAACAATTTTTATTTCTATTATCTTTTCTTCAAATTGATACATTTGTTAAATGTTTATAATCATTTTTTACGTACTTTGCTGGAATTACTGATAACTTCAGAGTGTAAATAGTGTTGATGTGTTGTTGTTTTGGTATTGTGAATCTGCATTTATGTTGATTGAGAGTGACAATATTGGTCATGTTTTTTTTTTGGGAAATTGGAATAAGCGATGTTTTCTTGAAAAAGACCCCTATCCCAGCTAATGCCGCGCAGAGAGTTGAAGTTGAACCATCTGGCACCTGTGCAACGTCCTCGACTTGGAAGATTCGTCGCAAGTTATTTCCAAGGCTTTGCTTGTGACAAAGCCGTTCAAGTTAACACAATGAAGCCAACGACAATAAAATATAGAAGCAAAGGTGTCACTGTTGGTCCTAAGACAAAAAATGTAGCATTATCACCGTTTCTAGTACCAGTTAAAAACACATCAACTTCACCTATTAAAACCGCCCAGATTGCCGTTATGAAAAGGAAGTTATTTTCAGATACAAAACCAACAGACGATTTATCTATTACGTCGCAATCTTCATCAATCTCTAGTGAGTATGAACAAGAAACTACTTCTTCCGAAGCGAGTTGGTCTCAAGATAACAAGGACAGACAATTTCTAAATGCAATGCGTAGTGCAACATTGACCGCTGTGGAAAAAGAGCCTGAAATGATGTTAGGACTGCCTAAAGACAGTTACCATTTGATAAAACTATTAACTAATAATATCCCAGTTCCCACTATTGACATTTTAATAACCTTGAAGAAAATAAAGTTTAATGAATCATTTGACATATTTGCTATACAATTTGGCTATACACAGAGCACTAAAAGTAGAATATTTTCGAAAACAGTAATTGTTCTAGCAGAAAAAATGAGGGAGTTAATTGTGTGGCCTAAACCATCTGACATAGTTAAAAATTTACCTATCGCTTTTAGAGCACGGTATTCTAGTTGTTTCAATTATAGATTGCTTAGAAATAGAAATTGAAAAACCGTCCAATGCAATCCACCAGTTTCTGTCATGGTCACAATATAAGAAATGTAATACTCTGAAATACCTTACTTCTTGTACTCCGGATGGGTTAGTCAATTTTATTTCAGAAGGATATGGTGGAAGAGCTGCTGACATCATTATAGTAGAAAATTGTGGCTATCTAGACAGAGGCTTCAAAGACTTGTCTCATTTGAAAATAAAAAATGTACCCTTATTCGGCCTCCTTTAGTGTTCAAGTCTACAGCAAGTACAAAATATGAGGTGAAAAGAATAGCAGCATTAAGAATTCATGTAGAGCGTGTAATAAACAGGTTGAGAGAATTTCATATGTTGTTGCCTCATGCATGTGTACATCACAGCTTAGTTTCGATAGTAGATGAAGTAATAGTAATAGCATGTGGCATAATCAATATGCAAAACGTTTTAATAAAAAAATAAATAAAATTTTCAAGTGCTTTATTTTTATTCATATTGGTGTGGCACACTCAGAAGGTACGAATATAGGTTACAAGTAACTTGGCTAACTGACAACTGAAATTTCAACTTGCTCCTCATACTATGATTTATTTGATATTTTTACATATAATAGGAAAAATAGCATTACTCCAGAAGAGCATGCTTTTTTCCAAAATAGTTGCACAATAGTTCTCATCATAATTTACAATATAAATGTCTACTTCCTTTCATATTTTAAAATCATGATGTGCAACACAGAAAAGCCCTTTTTTATTTGAAAAATGCATCTGCATTTGGACCTGAGCCATATATTTTGAGGATATAACATCTTTTGAAAGATATCTGCTCATGGCTTTCTCAGATGATGGGCATTTGATTTCAATACTGTAATCAATACTCTCACCATCAGGAGATGCACCAATTAGGGTTTGAGATCAAACCACACCCATTAATTTTCAGTTTCATTTTTTTATTTGACTTCTTTCAATACTTTTTTCTTTAGCAAACGCCCTCTTTTCATCGTCTCTGTGTCCTTTAATTTAATTGCTCCCATTATACTTTCACATAAAGTGCCTTCGAAAACTTTGCAGTGTGCTGCTTCATGCATCTTCGAAGCAGTAATCCTAGCATACCGTAGCTCATGCCACAGCGGACAGTCATTCTGATCAATTGTAGCTAGATCAGCTTCATGATGTGTCCATCATACTCCTGCAATAGTTGATGAACTCTGTGGCGTTAGCCGGTTTATTTGGTAGTGTAGTTACTAAATGATGAATGGATAATTTTCCTACTCTGCTTTTTTCCTTGTAGTATTTCATGAGTTGACTTTCCACGTGACCGATGCTTTTGCTATGGTTTATTAGAGTTGGCAGAAGGCTTCGAGTATTGGCAGATGGAGCAGGTTTGGCTTTTGAAATACTACCTAACCCTTCAGCTCTTATATACTTTAGGGTTGTGCCTATCGTGGATAATTTGGACTTCTTCCAGTAACAGTCGATACTAGTAGAGGGAGGGTCTTCGCTACGCCTGTGCAGCCAAGCTATAAAAGCTATTGCATGCTACCATCCACCTGAAAATTAAAAATATATATAATAATTATATTTTCTGGATAAAACATGATCACATTTTGAAATCAGACTCTTATTTTTATGAAACAAAATGTGTAAGTTACAACTTGTGTTAATACTCATTCGTACCCTCTAAATAATACTTTACCAATTAATTATATGTACCCAAATGTGCTGTGCAATCTTCACATTCTGCAGAGACAATTCTCTGTTCAGCTTCATCACATACTACTGTTACAGAGTAACACTTCTGTTTCACATTATGTTCGGGAGTAATACGAGCTTTCACTACACATATGTTTGCTTCCCTATTGCCGCTAGACAATAAGTATTTTTGATAATATTGTTAATTTACCTAATAAAGAATGTTACGCGTTACTTTATTAGCACACACACAACTACTGTATTTTTGTCCACCCTGTACCAATTGGAATCAACATGTGATACATTTTTGGAAACAGCTCAGCTAGAGTAATCTGAAAATTGAGACAAAATGGGGGTGTTTCATTTAAAAAAAATGACGGTGACGTCATTACTCGAACGTAATTCACCCTGTATATTAGATTATTATTTTGAAATACGGTAAATTAACATCAAAAATCGACGTGTTTCAGGATTATTTCTTAAAATGACCTGTTTAGCTAAAAATGAATTTGTTCCATACTTTACGGACACAGTGTATAATCAGGAATGATGAGTTCAGTAAATGTGAAATAATTATTACATATTTCCATAATTGATTTTTTGTGAATATAAAATAAAATACGACCTTTTTACCAATATGAGTGAATCGAATGTAAATTATTATCAAAATGAGCAACATGTATTGAAATGTCTATTCACAAATTTTACATAAAAATTCAATTTTGGGTATAAATTTTGTTTGATGAAATTACATTCACTTCTCATATATCCTATGGATATCTATAAGATATCCTTCGACGGATATCAATACGCTTGTCCTTCACGGACATCCATCGAATATCATTTTCAATACCTGGATATCCTGAACCTGAAATGGATATAAGACGGATAACCATAGGACATCCTGTGTTATCTGGGTCATCATCAAGGCTCTACTAGGATATCGAAAGCGCTCGCATATAATTAAATAGAAGTTATAAAACATCAAATCCTTTTTGTAACTCATATTGATATTGAAATACTGAAAATAAAGAAGAATTAATATTACTGGTGTTTTTTCCCAACACCAAATCGTTATTTTTAACACCTCGACACGTGTTTTGATCACCAAGTGATCATCTTCAAAGAGGAAGATTAAAACTGAACACTAGTGCGAGCTAATCCTATTTATGCTATAAAGGTAACACATACAGGTAAACCATCCAGGCATACCAACCTAAATTAATTTTAAAATTTTGCCTTATCTATTATTTTACAATATATGTTTATATAAAACAATTTTCAGCTATATAAAAATAAATTTCACAATATTGCCTATCCAAATTTATTTTTGCATTGTGTCCTTATGTAGTAATC